TAGTACTTCCGGTCAACGGAAATTACTCTAAATGTGATAGAAGGTAGAGAATTAGATCAGTTACATACATGTGAAATTTCATTTATCTATCTGAAATAGTACTCAAGTTATAGGCTTTTGAAAAATTCAAAGTTGAAAAACTACCACTTCCGGTTATCGGAAATCGCTCAAAAGTTGATACGGTTCTACGATTTTGATAAAATACTTATATATGAAATTTCAGCAACCTAGCTGTAACGGTACTCAAGTAATCGTGTTTACACACACACACACACACACACACACACAGACACACAGGCATACGGACAAGATTGCAAAATTATGTTTTTCCGTATCAGTGAGATGTAAAACGTCGAAATTTGTAAAAATCTCGATTTTTTTTTTTGCACGATTACAAGACTTTCTCTATACTTCGTATATACGAGAAAGTAAAAATGTTAAACTTTCTCAACCACTGCATTGGATTAAGTGATATTTCTTTTTTTAAATATGGCATTGACAGCGAAAATTTAACTGAATTCTGAGTTGAGAAAAGCTGCACACATATTTGTGGTAAAGATATAATTTAAACGTAATTTATAATAGAATTAGGATAAGGATTGAGGAAAGGGTTAGAGTTAGGGATATGAACAGGAATAGGAATAGCGATAGGGACAGGGATAATGATAGGGATAGGGATAAGAAATGGATAGAGATAGAGATAGGGATAGGGATAGGGATAGGGATAAGGATAAGGATAGAGATAGGGATAGGGATAGGGATAGGGATAGGGATAGGGATAGGGAAAGGGAAAGGGATAGGGATAGGAATACGAATAGGAATAGGAACAGGAACAGGAACAGGATTAGGAATAGGAATAGGAATAGGGATAGGAATAGGAGTAGGAGTAGGGGTAGGAGTAGGAGTAGGAGTAGGAGTAGGAGTAGGAGTAGGAATAGGAATAGGAATAGGAATAGGAATAGGAATAGGAATAGGAATAGGAATAGGAATAGGAATAGGAATAGGAATAGGAATAGGAATAGGAATAGGAATAGGAATAGGAATAGGAATAGGAATGGGAATGGGAATGGGAATGGGAATGGGAATGGGAATGGGAATGGGAATGGGAATGGGAATGGGAATGGGAATGGGAATGGGAATAGGAATAGGAATAGGAATAGGAATGGGAATAGCGATTGGGATAGAAATAGCGTTTGGGATACGAATTGGGATAGGATTAGAGTTAGAGTTCGTGTTAGGGTTTGGGTTTGGTTTAGGATTAGGATTGGGTAGAGGTGGGGTTGAGTTTGTATTGATAGGTTTCATTTTTTTTCCCGGCTACTTTTTGTAATTTAAATTTTAACCACTTACTAAATAAATTAACTTTTATAATTTGTTTCTACGTTTTGAAGTATGGTGATTTATAGCACCTTAAATAAAAAAGTAAGTGTACATACTTCATCAATTCTTAAATACTTTATAATTTGGCAAAACTATTTCCATTAAAACATCATTTTCAGAGGCCTGGTACGTTTTAAAATAGACGGACAATTTGAAGTCGTTAGCAGATATCACCATATTCCAGATATTTCACCATAAATATATATGTGTATATATATATATATGTATATATGTATATATATATATATATATATATATATATATATATATATTATATATATATACAAAGCGTCTATCTCAAACAATTCGATTTTCTTTTTTTACATACATGAAAAGCCAGTATGATTCCCCATAATGCCTAAAAATATAGAAATCTGTAGAATGATTATCGAGATATAATCAGTTGAACAAACAGCCTATTATTTCAAGCGCTAAAAATCTCGGCGAAAAACGAATAACACTATATTTGTCAGTACACTTTTGATCGGAAACGCAGTCGCACACCGCAATCACACAATTTTACAGCACAGCAGTCACAGTACTTATAAGTATAAGTACCGGGTGACCCGGTTGCAGCCCTTTGCTCCCCAGGGGCCATAAAGAAGTGATGATGATGACCGGGTGACACAACGGCTGCTACTGGTACGCTGGCCTGATGAGGCGTGCTATGAAATGCAATAACTAACACACTTTGGATGATCAGGCGATGAAATCGATGGCCTCGGTCACAAACCGTATAACTCCGAAAATGTAAATTTTACAGAGGAGACAAAAACTGATTATTTCATTCTTGATCGCTTTAATTTTTTTGTTTACATGTGCGAAGAAACTCTCTACCAACTAAATTGTAGAGTTTTAAAATGAATTTTGTTAATATTTTCAAAATTATAGAAGGTTTTAAAAGTTAATCTATTTGCTCGTTCTAAATCTCTGGCCACCAAACTGACTATCTTCGCGCGCAAAAACCCAACCGTTTTGAACCGAGAATTTCTACCTCGGCCACGTTCGTTCGTTTTGTCCAAGGAACATGAGTACGTTATATTTTTAAAAGTTTTTTAATTATCGTTAGCACTTAATAATATAAAGAATATAATTTTGGGCTCATGTTTTATTATTTGAGTCTATTCTACTTTATGAGTTTATTTTTTTAGATACAAGTTTTTATTTTTACAAGCTTTTATTTAACTCACTTCCTCTGTCTTTCGTCAGTCGTCAGTCTGTCTAGATCTAAACGCCCGAGTGAAATTGCATGCACTTTTACCTGACAGATACTGTTCGTAGTTGGTACGTGGGTCAAGACATGAAGACAATGCATCATGACTTTCAATTTGACTTAATTTGTCGCCTGATTAATTTTTTATGAATTAATAAAACATTTGACCAAATTAGTAGGCAGTTCTATCTAACTACTCTACACGCGTCATCACGTTCAAAGCGCGTCATCACGTTCAATAGCGCGTCATCTCGTTCAATAGGCGCGCAATGGTTTTAGTCATGTAACGCTATTGCAAAATAAAAACATGTAAAGTACTAAATAAAAATTTCATAAAAAACGTTTTAATAACAAGCTTTTATGTTATAATGCACTAAAAAGGAGAAAATAAATTATACACTACTATTTAAATAACTATAAAGAAAAGCGTGGATCTCTTCCTAAATATTAGTAAAGGTATCCAATGGACACTAAAGTGAACCACGCTTTTCTTTATAGTTCTTTAAATAGTAGTGTATAATTTATTTTCTCCTTATTAGTGCATTATTTCATAAAAGCTTGTTATTAAAACGTTTTTTATGAATTTTTAAAAATTATTTTAGAAATGGACATAAGAAATTCACACGATTAAAAATAGTTTTTTTGTTTATTCTTTAAAAACATCACACGAGAAAACGTTAAAATTGATAAAAAAAATTAAAATGCGGCAAATCACCATAACAAATGTATATTTATAACTTGCTTGTAGGAGCTCATATTTGACTGCTTTTATTTTTCTTAATCTTTTATACAACTTGTCGGCGGCTTGGGATGGGTTCTTAAAAATGCGACCTAAGTTTAGCGATTGCTGACTATCTGCTAATTGATTTTGAAGTAAATATTAGCATCAGGGTTGTACTATAGTATCTGTCGCATAAAATTCTTGAGAGATCAAGTTGGACCTATAAAAGAGGCTGGTTTTATTGTATGGTAAAACTTGTGTGTTGAGAGATGCTGGTCTGTTGTGTAGTAAGACTGGTCAATTGAGAAAGGTTGATCTCTTGTGTGGTAAGATTGGTCTGTTTAGAGAGGCTGCTCGTTTTAGAGAAGTTGGTCTGCTGTATTGAAATAAAGGTCAGTTGAGAGACTGGTCTGCTTGATAAGACTAGTTCGTTGAGAGAAGCTGGTCTCTTGTATGGTAAGACTTGTAAATTGATGGAGGCTGGTCTTTTGAGAGAGATTGGTGTGGTGTATGGTAAGATTGATCTACAGAGATAGGCTGGCCTCTTGTATGGTAACACTGATATGTTGAGAAAGGCTGATCTTTTGAGAGAGACCGGTCTCTTGTATGGTAAGGCTGGTCTCGTGTATGGCTGACCTGTTAAGAGGGGCTGGTATCTTGAAAAATATAGCTTATCTTTTGTTGGTAAGTCAGGCTGAATACATTTGGACTTCTGACTTTACATTACTATTATCATTATGTCATGATTTTCTCTAGTGTAAATGTTTAAAATTTCTACTTTATTACTTGATGACTAAACATTATGCTTTATTAATTAACAGTGTCATAATAACAACCGATTTTACTCAAAAAAGGAAATGATAAAAATATTACATAGAGTACATATGAGTTCTAGAAACATCACGAATTAATTAGATATGAACATAGATTATTTATTTCCACATATTAGTTATTTAGTTACAATTAGCATAAAAAGATCAGAAATAGACTCACAAGCAGATATTTTGGTATATGGTATATAGATTCAAGCAGAGAAAACAATTGATAATGACTTTAAAAATCATTAAATTAAGGAAATCGCGTTGTATTCTTCTGTTGTGCTTATGTGGAGTAAATGGCTTTATCATTGAATCTACTTCTTTAACTATTATAGTTGAATTTTTTAATTGTATCGGATGTATATATATATTTTTTAATAAATGTTTTATTACAATTTTTTTTTGTACCACTTAACACAATTAGTGAAGAAAAGAAACACATTTCGTCTGTATAACACATTTGTACAAAAACACATTGGTAATGTAAGCGTGTTTTATTTATGTAGCTCTTTCTACATGATATATTTGATTCTTTTTGTAGGTTTTCTTTAACTTGATATATAACAGTATACTATTTCAGTTATTTAATGATAACAAAAACGTATTTAAATTTAAATTTAAATTGTCAGTTTATTGCAACAGATTATTCTTGTTGAAAAACTATAAAAAAATAATGTTGCTTTTTTTTTGTTTAAACAATCTGTAATTTTTTTCTTTTTGTAATTTAAAATTTTATAAGCATTACATTTTTAGAATAAATAATATTTTATTTGTTTTTAATATTTATTGTATAGATTTTTATATGTTTATCAAATTTAGTGTTAGTTCTTGCGAAAAAAAACGACTTATTTGTAAGTACAGCCACAAGCTAAACTGTAAGATCAGCATACTGAACATTTCCTGACAGATTTAGATATAGCGCATTATTAATCTGTAGACGATGCGAGTAGCTGTACATAAACTTCCCATCAACAAATATGGCGTAGCTGTCAACTCTTACAAGGATGTGGACAACAAACGTTTGTCCAACGTTGAACGGAACGACATAGAAATAATTCCCTGATCCCCAGTTGCCGTTGACCATATGGTTTAATGTGACGTAACCAACTCTGGGTCTGAAGTGTAAAAGTATGTTGTTGTCGTTTTGTTTCACGTCAACTATAAAACCCTTGATATCGGCGTACACACCCCGAAGAACAATCTGTAGGGGGAAAAATAATGTTTAAGTGGGGGTAGGTTCCGGTTGAAAAAAAAACTTTTTGTACAAAACAGCAAACCAATTTTTATTTAAAGGCTATTAAAAGTACATGCATTTCCACTAAAAAATTCTGTTAAGATATTGGGTTACTAAGACAACGGCGGTCATATTGAAAAAATAACCTCTTCGTAGCATTTCCACCATTCCTAAAACGTTACACTTTAAGTCTGACAAACAACGAATTCATAATCTTCTACCATATTTTGGGGTAATCAGCTAGAAAGTTTAAGTGCAGATCTTCAACATTATTCTTTTAAAATTTTAAAATAGTGGGTCGGTCAAAAACACTAGATTTAATGCCCCATAATACCCCAAAATTAATTTTTTTTTTACCGGATCTAAAATTTGAAAATTCATAAGAAAAAGGTTTAAAGATTTGCACTCAAAATTGTTGACTCCACTCCGGGGGTAAAGTCGGGGCAGAAATATCGGAGTGGGAGGGGTAATTGACGAAGGAAATGTTTGAGACCACGGTCAAGCACATGATACCGATATTTAAACTACTGAATGAAACAGAGACGTATTAATTTTAAAAAATTGTGAATTTTCAAAACAAATTGACTAAATTTGAAAGGGTGATTCTAATTTAATATATATTTTTATACTAATTTATTTTATAGATAGCCTACATTCAAAAGCTTCGTCAAAAAGCATAATATTTTACAAAAAATAGCGTCTTTATACACATTATTCTCCATTTTATTGTGAATTGCATATCAGCAACGCTGTCCTATTTTTTTGTACTGATCTAAATACGTTTTAAAAATTAGTTACCAGGTTGCCAACTGAGATTCCACAGGATAGGTCCAGCCTTTTGTCTATGTTTGTTGAAGAGGACAGCTCAACGTACTGAATGTTCTGCCGTAGCCCGTAGAATGTTTCACTTGGTCCCGTGTCAACAACTAGACTTTTCACGCTGTAGTCACTACAAACACTGCACAGCCCAGAAGTTTTATTGTAGCTGAAGGCCACACAATTTCCTTTATCGTGACACATTCTGGAGCAATCAAGTCGAGATTTTGTTACTATAGAAGTTGACGAGCTTTCGTTACAGCCCGTGTACTTGACTTGAAGTCGAGAAAAGCTAAACATTTTTACAGGTTTAACAAAACAAAATTGTCCACGGCAAAGATTGCTTAGCTGACACAACACAAGTAACCAAACCATAGGGTACATGATATGTTGTACCATTATTAATGTCATCTACATTATTTTATAAAAATGAAAATTCGTGATGTTTTGGTTAATATGTATATAAACTATTACTTAACAGAAAATATAATTAAAATTATTAGAAACTTTGAGTTCACATAATAATTATTATAACTTGTCGTTTGCCCGTGCCTTTTATACTTCAAACGATGCATCGTTAATTAAAAGCAGCAAAATCAATGACTGTACTTGAATGTTGAAAATCAATTTTCTATTTGTCATTTGTTTCTATTTTTTATGCAAAGACAATTGCTAAAGTCAATTCTTTACATCTTTTCTCTCTTGCTCGTTTGTATATCTTAGCGCTGTTTATGATCTTCCATTAGTGGCACAATGGATATTTTCAGGTAAATCAATAGTAGTCAATAGTAAAAGAGTTGGCTGCATAAAACATGTTTTACAATAATAAAGCAGCGTTTTTCTTTTTTTTTTTTTCAAGATAATTTTTCCGATAAAAACACACGAAATTTTCATTTTAAATATTCATAGAAATGAAATTTTATTTTTTAGTTTCAATGGCAAAATGTGATAAAAGAAGAGTTAAAGTGACGATACTCATTGTCACATGAACTATATTCGTTGGTATTTTCATGCATTCTAGCCAACTTGAGAGTCTAGTATGGGATAGGTAATTGTTGTTTAGTGTTACTGATGTTATAATACAAATATTCTAAATTTAGTTCGGGTCTCTACTACATTAAAACACATGTGGTATTTATTTAGTGATACTTTACAAGGTTAGTTTAATGTAGATTGTTGTGTAGAATATTAGACAGCCACTGTATTATATGGTGTCCTGATGTGTCACGTTTTAGACTATTTAGTAGAGTTCACTCGTTTCTGTGACCTCGGCATTTATTTTCCCTAACATGAGTTAGGGACGGTCTTTTGACTTGAACCCAGATTCGAACTCGTTAAAATATCAATATTTTCTTATGACCAGTGTGGTGATGTAATGTGTATGAAAGGTGAATACGTGGGACGGATCGCTGCGTGTGTGTATGTATCATGTAATGAGACGCGAGGCCGGGTGTGTTGACGTGTATGTTGTTGTACGGAGTGAACGAGGGTACAAGGGAAGCGACTGGTCGGGTGACAGCGGCTGTGTTGTGAGCGGGAGAAAGGTGGTGTGTAGGAATGAATGCGGAGGGGGGGGGGGGGGGGGGTTGAAGGTGGAGTGTCAAAGCAAGAAGGTGGATTTTTGGGACTGGAGAAATAAAGTATACTGTAATAGCCTCAATCGTGTTGTGCTTTCTTTGATATTTAGACGCCCTCACAACCAGCGTTAACCAAATTAAAACGTTCTCATTTTAGTAGAATAAGCCATCGATTGATATTTTTTTCGAATTAAAGTTGTACATTGATTTTTTACAAATATAATAAGCATGAGCACTTTACTGGCTTAACAAATCAATATAACAGTGTATACAAGTTCCCAATAACCTATCCAAAATCGTACGTCTAACGATATAATTCGAATGCGGGTTCGAGACAGTAGATGGTTCATGAAACCACCCAGCTAAGATGGAAACCTAACAGACGTTAGGGAAAGTAAAGGCGGCTGGACGTAGTACGGTAGTGCTGACCACACTATCCCGTCGTATGCGGAGGTCACAGAAACAGATGAACTCTCCTATACTTTTCACATGGACCGTTAGGTTCGAAAAGGGAAGCTTCCATTTACTTAAATGGGTGTGTGTGTATGTGTGTGTATGTGTGTGTGTGTTTGTGTGTGTATGTGTGTGTATGTGTGTGTGTGTTTGTGTGTGTGTGTGTTTAAACATACATTTTGAAATACTAATGAAATATTACGGACAGAAAGATTTAACAAAGAAGAAAATTCGTAGAGAAAACCGGGGAGAAAGAAATAAAAGCTTAAGAATGCAAGTACTTTTTTTATTAGAGTGTTATTAATAAAAAGTGATAAAAAGGTTTAACTTTTCGACATTTAATAGCCTATGCAGTTAATAGTATTTCATTTCAATATTTTTTTTTCCTTTCAATATTTTTATGGAAAACAATTAAAAAATTTTCTATTTAACACCAAACTTACTTTAGGTTATCTTCAAAGAAAATATTTTGTATCAAGTTTCTTATTAAATCAAAATATGTCGACTTTTCTACATTAAAAAAAAACCCAATCATATTAGCAATATTGTATCATTTTTAAACATGTTTATCTTTTTATTCTTGCTCCTTGTATGGAGCTTCTGACTTATTTTCAATGGTTTGTTCATCGTTAAACAGTTGCCGAAAAATTCAATGAAAAATGTCAAAATAATAGCTAATATTACTAAGCAATCAGGTAAATCTGTATTGTGTCAATTAATTTAAGTTTCAACATTTAGTGATGGTTTCGCATTTTTATTATGTGTTATGAAGAGTGTATTTGTTTCACACCAATGAATTAAGCAATAATCACAAGACATTTTACAACAAATATCACAAAATTTAAAATTCAATATATTAAGAGTAAACATCATGGCTTCCGGATTAGGTAGCCAATTGCAATATTAATATAAATAAACATATTGCTTTGAATTAAATGTTTCCTGAAAACATTTGAATGTTAAGAAATATTTTTTTTAAACCAAGTTATTTTTTTTTATACTTTTAAACATGCTGTTTTATACTTTTAAATATAAAAAAAATTGTCAATGATAAGAATAATGAAATTTTTCTATGTCATAAATGTTAAACCCAAGTTATTTTTTCTTTATCAACCAATTGATTGGATTTAGTGATATTTCTTTTTTTTTTAATATGGCATTGGGATTAAAAGGTATGACAGCGAAAAGTTAACTAAACACTGAGTTGAGAAAACTTTACGATTCCCGCCACGTTAACATATCTCACGACAGAGGACGGGAGGATGTACGGGTAGCTGCACACATACTTCCCATCAACAAACACGGCGTAGCCTGTAGCTCTCGCGAGAATATGGACGACAAACTTTTGTCCAAGTGCGAACGGAAAGACAGAGAGCGTAGGACGGACTTCGGTCCCGAGTATGCCGTTGATCACGTTGTTGAGTGCGATGTAGTTGCTTTGGGGAAAGACGTGAAACGGCCTGGTGTGGTTGCTTTGGCAAAAGTCGATGTAGAATCCGTAGGTGCTGGCGTACACTCCTCGCACTTCAACCTGTGGTAAAGATAGGTTAGGATAGGAGTAAGGTTTAGAGTTAGGGATAAGAATAGGAATAGGAATAGGAAAAGCGATAGACAGGAATAGGAATAAGAATAGGAATAGGAAAAGCAGAGGAATAAGAATAGGAATAGCGATAGGGACAGGAACAAGAATAGGAATAGGAATAGCAGAGGAATAAGAATAGGAATAGCGATAGGGACAGGAATAAGAATAGGAATAGGAATAGCAGAGGAATAAGAATAGGAATAGCGATAGGGACAGGAATAAGAATAGGAATAGCGATTGGGATAGGGAAACGGATAGAGTTCGTGTTAGGGTTTGGGTTAGGATTATGATTGGGGACCAATTTAGAGTAGAGGTGGGGTTGAGTTTGTATTGATAGGTTTTAATCTTGTAATTTAAATTTTAACCACTAACTAAACAAATAAACGTTGATGATTTTTTCTTAATTTTGCTGTATGCTGGTTTATAGCAACAAAAATAAAAATAGTTTCCAGGGGCCTGGTTGGTTTTAAGTATAGATCAGGGGTCGGCAACCTGCGGCTCGCGAGCCGCATGCGGCTCTTTTGATATCAAGATGCGGCTCTCCAGCTCCTTGAACAAATACTAATAATCTTAATAAAAAAATAAAATATTTGAAATAAAAAAATGTTAGTGGCTCTCTAAAACCCGGAAAATTTTGAAAATTTTAACTTTTGGCTCTTCCGCTTCAATAGGTTGCCGACCCCTGGTATAGATGTATATATTATGTAATATATATATATATATATATATATATATATATATATATATATATATATATATATATATATATATATATATATATATATATATAATATTTATTTATTTATTTATTTATTTACGTATATACATATATATTATAATAATTATTATTATCACTGTTAATTATTACTAGTATTACTATTATCATTATTATTATTATTAAAATTGTTAAATTGTTACATTTACCAGGTTGCCGACTCTAACTCCACAGGGTATGTCGACATTTTTGTTTGTGGTATTCGAATTTGAGAGTTCAACATATTTGATGTTCTGACGTAGCCCGTAGAATTTTTCACTAGGCCCCGTGTCATAAACTAGACTTTTCACACTATCCCCACTGCACACATAGCACAGCCCAGAAGTTTTATTGTAGCTGAAGGCCACACAATTTCCTTCACCAAGGCACGTTCTGGCGCAACCTATTCGAGATTTTGTTACGAAAGAAGTTGACGTGCTTTCGTTACAGCCCGTGTACTTGACTTGTAGTGGGGTAAAGTTGAGGACTGTCACGGATTTATTGGTGCACATTTGCCCTTGGCAACAAATGCTCAGGCTGTACAATATAAGTAACCACAACAGAACACACATCATGTCCTTAGGAGCTCTGCTACTATTCTTTTAAAATGTGAACCGTGTATTACTTGAAATTTCAAACTCGAAACATATTAGATTTAGGAAAAAGGTATAATGATTATTCCCATTTGAAAAGATTTAAGCATTTAAGCTCAAGTTGATTTAAATCAGTAAGTGTAGAAAAGTTTTCGCCCTGATAATTAAAGCAACATGTGTTAATATATATTTATGAAGCATAAAGCAATATCGCTAAACGTCATATATATATATATATATATATA